GAGAGAGTGAGTGTGTTCTCTGGAATATTGTGTGCACGTTCTATTATGCACCGCATTGTGCTGCAATGTGTTATCTTAGTGAACACATGATAAGGACTATCGCCAATTTACCTTCCAGAAATATTCTCGTTATCTAAACTTTGTTCTAATATTTAAGCGATATATTCCAGGTCCATGACCTTAATTCTCTTAATATCAGAAAAATCGGTTTAACCGGTTTAACGCTTCTTAGATTTTTTGAACGTTCACGTGGCCACATATATTAAGTAAAAAATTTTTATAAAATAATTTTATAATATTTTTACAATTTTACATAAAATATATTACGACTATACGTATTCGATATTTTCCCGTACAGTCGGAGGATTCTAAATTCTAATTCTATTCCGCTCAACTATTCACATTCGCAAATTCGAGAAATCCGTTGCCAATCAAATCTGAAATAACTCCACCGGCCATCGACTGCATCTAATCGAATTTTTGCCATATCGTCCGGTAAAAAGAATGATCCGAAATATTTTACGGAGCGGCGTAGGTATTCCCAAGTGAATGGTCTGACTGTTACGATCCATCCTCATGACGAGTGTAACGCTATTGCGCCGCTGGCTATGTAATAGGGATATGTAATTTGTCAAGGCTGCATTTCTATGACCTCGTCTCTCCACTGTCGCGCCGTAATGACGCCATCAAACTCCGCGCGGACGTAAATTCATCGGCGAAGTTCGCGCTTAATTTCGCGCTATGGGGTAGCAATTCGTCGGAGCGGTACTACTGTACCGGCACCCCCCGCAGATTTCCATTTCTACCCCGCCGCGCGCGTCCTCGTGGCGCGTTCAATCCGTTCTAGATTCACCCTCGACGAGTTCTCGGGGTGCCGAGGGATGTGCATACGCGAAGATACATCGAGATACGTCGGGATACATTTCGAACCGCCATTATATCGTACTCATTTTCCAAATTGCGCGACCGTTAAGTGACTATGTCGGACACACGAGATCGGTAAAACATTAACGATGGCGCTCTCAATGGTAAATCATTAAAATCAATGTTACACGCATCAGTTGCAAAGCATACTCCCGCATTGCAAATCACTCTAATTGCGCGCGTCGTGTAACGTTACACGTGAACGCTTTCGCCGAACGCGTGTTCAGAACGTGATTGTGCATCATTAACGTTAAAGCCGGTCGGAAGCGAGGCGAAAAGCGCGCGCAACTTTGTCGCGCCGCGTGGGCGGCAGTAACGCTGATGATGTAAAGGCGCCATCAAGTATGCGAGCGTAAATTTCGCCGGCGAAGTTTTCGGTCGATATCGTTCACGGGCGTCGAGACTTACGTCGCCTGTTCATTTTTGATTCATCACCGATCGTAACGTAGCGGGGAACAAAGTTCTGCCGGACCGGAGAGAAAGAGAGAAAAAGAGAGCGAGCAGGCGAGCCCCGAAACGGCTGGAAACGCCAAAACGATGTAATCGAGACCGAAAATCCCGGCGTAACGACCGCGAAGAGAATTTCGGGGGATGGGGGATGGCGGATGGAATCGCGCTCCTACGTCTCCCCCCCCCTCTCTCTCTCTCTCTCTC